AATTTTGTTAAAATTTTTTTTTTTAAAAATTTTTTTATGGCAAAATTAAAAAAAAAAAAAAAAAAATTGAAATGCAAAAAAAAAAAAAAAAAAAAGGAAAAAAAATAAAAATGTAAAAAAATAAAAATGTAAAAAAATAAAAATGTAAAATATAAAAATTTAAATTAAACAAAATAAAAAATAAGCATTTTAAAATTTATTTAAAAATATTTATGAGAATTATATATGCAATTTTATAATTTTTTTTCCAGTTTCCATTTCAAAGGTTTTAATAAAAAAACAGGGCATATTACATCATATGTGTGCTGAATTATTTCATATTCATCTATTATAATTTTATATTTATATAATGAACAATCAAGGGTAATTGTTTCATATTCTCCACCTTCACCACAAATATTTAATCCGTATTTTTCACTTACTAATTCTAAATCGTTGAATATTTCTTTTATTGTTTTTCCAACGTGATTTTTATTTAATCCTTTATTATTTTAAAGGTAAATAAAAATAAATAAAACAAAAAAAAAAAAAAAAAAAAAAAATATTTTATATATATTTTTCTTTTTCATTTTTTTCTTGATTTTTTTTTTTTTTTTTTTTTTATACCAAATGAAGCAATTTTTACAATAATTGCATCCATTCCATCACTTATCATATTTTGCAATAATTCTTTCTATAATAACAATGATAGAAAAAAATGATCCATAAATTTAAATTTTGAATTATTTTGGTTATTTTATTTCATAATTTTATTTTCTAACTTGATTTTTTCCCCATAAGTAAGTTAAAACATGTAAATTTAATCTTTTGCATCTGTACAATGGTAAAAGAAAAAGAAAAAAAAGAAATTTTTTTTGTATAATTTATATAAATAATTGTAAGTTTTTTATTACACATGCTCTAATCGGTTTTTCTGGTAATTTGATATAATAGCTCCACAAGATACTGCATTTATATTTGGGAATTTGGACTTACAAAAAAAAAAAAAATATATATATATATATATATATAATATGTAAATAGCTTACAATAAATAATTTCTTTACTTTAGCTTCAAGTAGTAATTCATATAAATCTTCTACTTCATCATTAGAATTATAAGTATAAGTTAAATCATCAACATTAATTGGCTCTCCTAAGAAGATAAAAGTGAATATTATATTTTTTTTTATTTATTTTTATTTTTTTTTTTTTCGAAGTTATTGTAATTGCACAAATTATTAAGAATTTATAAATTTTTATCGAAACAAGAAAAAAAAAAAAAATTCATTTCATATAAATATACATTAAACAGATTTTTATGTTATTTTGCAAATTAAATTTTTTTTTTTTCTAATATACTTTTAATTTGATGTTGAATTAATGGTATTTCCATACATTTTGCAATAGAAGGAATTAACTCAAAACCTGCACTTTGATACATAAAACTATCTGTTTCATCTACAAAAAGTTTTATTAGACAAAAATAAAAAAAAAGAGTATTAAATATATATATAAATATATATATAAGAAGTACTCAAAATTAATTTTCAAATGACTCGAGAATACTTTAAGTACAATTAAAAAAAAAAAAATTCATAATTTAAATATTAATACAAAAGTATAAATATACATTTATAAGCTTGAAAAAAAAAAAATGTACTATCATATTGGTCTTAAATTATATGAGACATAGAAAAAAAAAAAAAAAAAAAAAAAAAAGAAATGGATATAAAATAAAATCATAAAAAATAAGTATTATTGCAATGACTTAATGTATAGTAACATTTATAAATTGAATATTGTACTAAAATGTAATAATTTTTAGATCTTAAATATATATAATAATTCAAAAAAAAAAATGTATATCATGAAAAAGGGAAAAAAGAAAATGAAAAAAGAATAATGAAGTATATTTTAATTAAATAATATATATTAAATGAAATATTTTAGTTTTTTTTTTAATATATAAGGTTTTTATGAGTCTTATTATGTTTATGTATATAAATTTTTTTTTTATTTAATTTAAAATTTATATGACATATATATATATATATATATGATTGAATTTTACTTTGTTTTTTAAGTGGAATGAGATGAGCTAATGTAATAATATTATGCCCATCTTTGGAACAACAAACGAGATTGTATAAGCTGTCTTTTCCTCCTGATATTAAACCAACAACATTCATTTTTTTTTTTAAACAATAATGAATTGAGAGGGAATTGCAGAAAAATGGATTAAAAAACAATGCTAAATTGTAAGGAAAACCTTTTATTATATAAATTTTTTAAAAAAAATTATATGTTTCATAAAATATATTTTTTTATTAAAAAAAAATTTATTTAAAATAATTATAAAAAATGTATTTTATTGTGTTATTTGTTAAAAAAAAATTGTTTTTTAATTTTATGTGTAATATTCTTTAAAACTTTTTTTTTTATGATTTTTTTCATTCGATAAAATATTTTTTTATGATTTTATTCTTATGATAAAAATTATATTTCATCTAAATTTAATTTAAATTTTTTGTATTTTAATGATATTTTTATATATTGGTTCTTTTTAAAAATATATATATATATATATATATATATATTTCATATACATTTATTCATATGCGTATATTTTTTCTCCTGAAAAAATTGTATTTATCGAATTGCTGTTCTGTTATGTTTTTATCTTCCTTTAAAAAATTGAACAAATTAGTTTTTAAATTTGAGTTTTTTTTTGAAGTTGAAGATATATATTATGAATTTTTCTTTTAAGATAAAGCAACTGCACTAGGCATATAAAAAATGATACCCACAAAAATAGTTTTATAAAGAAAAAATATGAATTCTTCAGATAAGGGAAATGTATAAACTAGTGAAAGTATCTTAAAATTAAATAGGATAAAATGAAACATATAATCATATACATATTAACTATTCATAGGATATATAAAAATTTTTTTTTTAATTTTCGTGTGCATATATATATATATATACGTATATATTTTCTTTGATTTGTTGTAGATTCTACGTGTTCGACAAAATTCTTTGCTTGTTATGAAGTGATATATGATAAAGGGGTTAGTAAAAAAAAAAAAAAAAAAAAAAAAAATTCGAGTTCATTGTATATGATTTAAACTATGTATACTAAATTAAATTGCTATATATTTTTAGCTCTTATATATAATTATTTAATGATAGAAATAAAAAAATAAGAAGACACACATTTTTTTATAATTTATGGATCATACATTTTACACCTGACATAGAAAAAAAAAAAATGAATAGAAATAAAAAACTTTAATTTTCTATACTTTTTTTCATTTCTCTTATAAATTATTTAATTCAAACTATAAATAAATTTCATATATATATATATATATATATATATATATATATATATTTTTTAATTTATTGCGAATTTTGCAAAAATGTTCTAATGATTTATATAAAAGTTAAAGTCTAATGTAGTTAGAACGGAGATTAACATTAAAAAAAAAATTATCTATTTTTTTCTATGATTATTTTTTCTTAAAAAAATAAAATTAATAATGTATCTAAGTGTATTTGCATCAAGTGTGGAAGAAAAAAAAAAAAATGAAACGCTTCTCTATTAAGTTCACCGAAAAATAAAAAAAAATAAAAAAATAAAGTCAATTTTCTAATGAAATGAAATAGTTTATAGAAAAAAAAAAAAAACAAAGAATTAATTATTTAAAATATTCTATTTTTCTTTCTCTAAAATTGCTTTCATTTTTTTTTCTTATATACATATATTTTAATATGTCATAAAATCTAAAAACATCTCATTTTGAACTAAAAATAATTAAAAATTTTGATTTTTTTTTTTTTTTTTTTTTTTTTTGATGTACACAAAAAGTGCATTTCTATACAGCTCTTAGAAAATTAAGATTAAAAAAAAAAATTTGAAATATTTTATGCATATATATATATATTTAATGCACTAATTTAAATTTATATTTATCTGCAAAAAATCATGTATTTAACAATGTATTAGTTAAGTATTTGTTTATAAATCTTTTAATCTATTAATTAATATTAATATTTAATATATGTAAATATGAAAATATAAGTTATTTTTTTTAGGTAAATACTCATTTTTTCAATATAAAAAAGTTTTCAACTTATTTTGAGTAAATAATTATATTAATATATAATTCTAAAAGGAGTACACTAATTTTTTTTTTTTTTTTTTTTATTCTATACATTCTATTACTATTTAAAAATAACACAAGATTGGGGTACTTCATATATGAGCATTTTAAGTTTTTTTTCCTATGAATGGATAAAATATGAAATTTTTTTTTTTTCTTTAACCAATACATTAGTTCACAATAAAATTTTCAATTTTACAACTAACACTATGCATTTATGCATATGATATATGTATTAATTTCATAACTAAGCGATCAATTTATTTTATTTTTATCATTTAATGAATTTAATTCTCATTATAATGAAAAATTAATAGTTAACTTTTTTTTATAGTGCATTTTCAATTTTCACACTTTTAAAAATTTTCATTTGCATGAATTTTTTATAATAATTTATTTTTGCTTATTTTTGCATTTATTTGTGCTCAGCACATTCAAAAAAATGCATGATAGAAAAATAAAAAAGAGAGAGAGAAAACATGTTTTTCTATAACAAAAATTATAATAATAATAGAAATTTTATTTTTAAAGCTTATAAAATTAATTATATATGAATATTCTATATCAATTTAAAATGTAATAGTATTTCTTCCTTTTTTTTTTTTTTAATTTAATATTTAAAAATCATTCTTTAAAAATTTTCTAGTTTTTTAGAATCAAACTATTTAAGCTTTAATATATTTAAAAAATATATAAATAAACAAATAAATAAATAAATAAATAAATGTACATATATATATATATATATATATATATATATATATATATATATATATATATATATATATATATAAACATTTTTTCTTCTTTTTATTGAATTATATTAACATATTCTTATAATTATTTTATTATTACATTCTAAAATTAGCATTATATTAACAAATTTTTCTTTACATTTTTATATTCTATAATTTATTATCGTTTACACAATTATAAATGATATAATAGTTAATACACACAAATTTTTAAAGATAAGGCATTGATACTATAAATTAACTTTATATATTATTTTTATTATTTTTTTTCTATAAATAAATTAACATATCTATTTATATTATTATTCACTTGTTTTTTTTTTTTTTTTTCACTATTTAAATGAATATTAAAAATATATAATTACAATGCTATTTTAATTAATAATTCAATTAAATATATAAATTAATATATAAATTAACATATAAATTAATATATAAATTATATATTCATATAAATATATATATATATATATAAACATAGAAATTACTATGTAATTTTTTCTATTTCTTTAAAAAATTTTCTTATTTTCTACTTTACAATATTATAAAATATGTGGATTTTACTATTCTTTATTTATTAAGTATTTTTGTTTAATTTTTAATTTATTATAATTTTATAAGATAAAATATATTTACATAGTTGCACGAATTGGATATAAAAATGTAAATTTATCAATGGAAAATAAAGTAAATTATTTTTTATATAAAACGACTGGATATAAATAAATATTTTATGTAAAAATAAAAATAATAAATTTTATGCATACTCATGCATGCTATTTTTATAATAATATTAACAATATTGTTAATTATATTTTTATATTTATTATAAATTTGTGATAATAATTTTGACCCTTATGTAGATTTTTCTTTTTTTGTTAAAAGAAAAAGGAGATTTTTGAAAAACAAATAATTCATGTAGATATAAATCTAAATTTTAATATTAAAAAGGAGGCATTTATGTACACATTGCTTTAATCTTATAGAAAAAACAAAATACAATAAAAAAATTAAATACAATAAATAGTAATAAAATAAGAAAAATAAAAAAAAAAAAAAAGAAAAAGAAAATGCTTAGATTACAAATATTATAGAAAAAAGATAAAAAAAAGTTCATACATTGAGGGCTTAAAAAAGAGAAAAAAAAAAAAATTTAATGCACTAACTCACTATGCTTATATTTTACATTCATATTTGCCTATTAAAGTATTTAGTTACAAAACACATATATTCAATTTTAAATTTACATATATATATATATTAAAAATATTAATAAATTAAAAAAAAAATAATAATAATAATAAAAATGATACAAAGAAAAATAGAAAATCCTAGTGTCCTATCAAAAAATTTAACATATACATGTAAGTATGAATATGAATGTTTTTCACAAAAAAAGTACATTTTTGTTTATTTTCTAAAGAAAAATAAATATAATACTAGAAAAAATTACTTTGAAGATCAAGTACACAATTTGCTTGTAGTATTAAAAAAATATATATATAAAATAATAAAAGGAAAAAATTCTCAAAAAAATAATTTTCATAAACTATCCAATTATTTAAAGAGGCAGAAAAATATTGTATATAAAAATAAATATATTCATTTTCATAGTTTATTAACTAATGATAAAAATTTAAACAAAAAAAATAGAAAGAACTTTCTTTTTAAAGGATTTAAAATTGAAGCAAAACAGAATCAAATATTGCTTTTACTAAAAAATGATAATATAATGAAAAATATTATAAATAGAAAACAACTAAACATAGTACAGAAAAAAGAAGAAAACAATAAATTTTTACATAGTTCACTAAATTTTCAGACATATGCAACTAAAAGAAAATACACAAAACAAGATATAAATAAATATGTAATTTTAAACAAGAAAAGGCTTATAAAAAAGCCAAAGATATACATGAAAATAAAAAATACTTCCAATCTTAAATTATTAACTATTCAAATAGTAAAAAATGATAAACCACAGTTATATCATAATTCATTTAAAATTAAAAATATACTTCTTTTAAAGAAAAAAAAAGAATTGATAAGATATAATTTATATATTAGCATGCATGTTTATTTTAAAAAGACAAACATCGACTATGAAGATATTTTAAATAATAATTTAAGAAAAGAAATATGCTTAATATTTTTTACTAGAATACACAGTAATGGAGAAAAAAATAGAGTGTATATTTCTTACACAAAAAATAATTCTACTAATTTTTTAAATACATTAAAAGAACATCTTAATTTTCATAAAAGATGGAATATAATTAAAAATATGAATATAAAAGATCTTATAAAACAAGAAATTTTAAATTTAAACATCTTTAAAAATAAACAACATAAGTTAATTTATACAAAAAAAATGAAAAATTTTCTCTTACTATCTAAAGGGAAAAATCCATTTAAAAAAAATAGAAGCAATGAAAAAACTTATGCAAATTATTTTAATTATAAAAGTAAAAATGACATAGAAAATGATAATATCTATCGAAGATATAATAATGACAAATGTAATAATAATAATAATAATCACAATAATAATAATCACAATAATAATCACAATAATAATCACAATAATAATAATAATAATCACGATAATAATAATAATAATCACAATAATAATCACAATAATAATCACAATAATAATAATAATAATAATAATAATAATAATAATAATAATAATAATAATAATAATAATCACAATAATAATCACAATAATAATAATAATAATAATAATCACAATAATAATAATAATAATAATAAAGGAAAGAAAAATGATAATGAAAATAATCGTCGTGAAAAAGATAGTGATAAAGAAAATTCTTATACGAGAAAAAATGAAGATAATAAAGAAAAAGTTACCAAAAAGAATAAAAAAAAGGTCGGAAAAAATAAAAATAGAAATATTAATTTTAATAAAAAGAAAAAAATTACAATTAATAATACACTTAATATCAATGCAATAAAAAACAACAGTAAAATTAATAATGAAGATATTTTGAAAAATAATAAAATACATAGAAAAAAAGAACATGGCATTAATAATAAACATCGCATAAAAAATAACAGTATATATAATATTAAGGATAACAAAAGATTAATAGACACTTGTTTATTAAATTGTTCAAAGTATGAATCAAACAGGGAAAAAAAAAGTATGAATAGTCGCAATTTAAGGAAAAAAAATTCTGATACATGCTATATTAAAAAAAAAATAGATCTTACTAAAATATACAAAAATGTCATAGATTATAAAAAAGATAAAATAAATGCAAATAAAATTAAGAAAGATCAAAATTTTATAAACGTGGAAACATTTAAAAATAAAATAAACGAAATGGAATTAATTAGCAATACAATATCAAAAAAAAGGAATAGCAATTTTTTAGATACATCAAATGACTCCACAATAAAAAGAAAATTAAGAGAAAAAAATAGATCTGTTCTAATTAATATTAATAATGAAAAGAATTCTATGAATACAAAGAAAATAACATCAGCTAAAAAAAGTATAGAATATTCAGATATTTGCACAAATGAAAATAATAAAGAAAAACGAATTATAAAAACTGAAAAGGATGGCATGGATAATGTAAATAAAAAACATTGTCAAAAAATAAATATAAACTCATTAGAAGAAAAGGAAAAAAAAAATAAAGAAATTGAAAAAAGAAACTTAATAGCAAAAAAAATTAATTTAGAAGAGAAAGAAAAAATAAAATTAGCAAATGAAAAGTATTATCATGAAAAAAGTAAAAAAGAAAATATGTTAAATGAAAGTGAAGAAAGAAAACATATTATGAATAAAAAAGATAATCTTTTAATGAAAAATGAAAATTTGAGTGATATAGAAATAAGTGACAATAATAATGAGAAAAATTATTCCATTATAAATGATAACGAAAATCATAACAGTTCTACAGGGCATACAGAAGTTAATATTGAGCACAAATATAAATTAAATATAAATTCAAAAATTAATAATAAGAGAGATTCAAACTTTAGAATGAAAAAAAAAATTAAAAAGGAATTGAATAACTATTTATCGAAAGATAGTAATGTAATACTATATGAAAATTTAAGAAATAAGAAAATAAAAATAAGTAATAATAAAAATATTGAAAACTCTGTAAATAATAATACATCAGAGGCAGAAGAGAAAACATGTAATACAGAAGTTAATATAAATGACAATTTAAAAGATCAATTTGTACATAAAAATGAAAATTTATTAGATAAAAATGTATCCTTTTCAAATGTTCACGTAATGATAGATCAATTAAAAAATACAGAAGAAAATATAAAAAAAAATACATATAAAAGTATCTTCAACAATAAACATTTTATCCTTAATGAAAATGATTATTATAAAAATTATGAATTATTGAAAAGTATATATAACAATAATTTATTATATAATCAAAAGCAAAATGATACTGAATATCCCTATAGTCAAATAATACAAAATAATCAAGAATTACTAGAGGAAAATTGTTTTAATAAATTTCTTGATTATAACATAAATGATTATTTAAATATTTCTAATAATAATTTTAATGAATATAAGTCTAATTTACAATATGATTTTTATCGATTTCAACCACTAATTGTAAAAAATAGCGTTAATGATAATAATATTCATACAACAATGATGCATTTAAACAATTGCAATTGCGAGTCGATACCAGATAATTATAAAAATAACTTTTTCATTAATTATAATAAAATTAATAAATATAATTGCATACATGAAATAAACTATATAAAAAATACTAATGAGTATAATTCAAATCCTCAAAAAATGGTCAATATAAAAGATATAATAGAACAAGAATGCATGGATAATAAAGAAAAAAGTTTAAACGTTTCAAATAATTTAAATAATAACTATCATCCATTATTTCCTTCTAACAACTTTTTTAATGATATAATACTTAATCAAAAAGTTAAAAATGATTTATCAAATAATTATAATGTTAACTGTCATTTAAATAATAATGAAACAAAAGATACTATAAAAAAAAAGAATAATATTATTAATATATACAATGAAGAAAATAATAGAAAATATAGCAATTCTATCAAAAAAAAAACAAATGAAATCAGTAACAATAGCAAATCATTAAATAATAGAGAGAAATATAATAATGAAGAATATGATTCTGACAATTTTAATAATAATAATGATAATTTGAAAAATGAAAACTATAATATTACAATGAATTCATTAGATAACATGAATGTTAAAAATATGCATACAAAAAGATACAAAGAAAATCCTATAATCAATTCTGAAGAATATATTAATGCTATTTATGGATATAAAGTAGATGAATATAAAGTAAACAATTATAATAATTATAATGAAGAATATAAAATTAATGAAGATTCAAACCATACAAATACAAGCATAAATAGTAAAATTATCATTAATTATATGAATAAGTATAATAATATGAATGATAACAATCTTTATAATATGAATATATGTGTAAATGATAATTTTAGTGATAATCAAAAAAATAATACTATTAAGAATAATATTATTAATAATACTTCAAAAAATGATAATATAAATACAAAAAATACATATGAAATATATGAATTTTCTGATAATTTAAATAATAGTATTAAAAAAGTAAATGGCAACTTAAATAATATTGAAAAAAAAAACTCTAATTATATCAATGAAGAAAAAAAAAACAAATTAAATTATTTGAATGAAAACAAAGAAAATTCAAATAATTTTATTAATAATAGATTAAATGGAATAAATTATACCAAAAATGAGAAAGAATATAATATAAATAACAATTTAAGCAATATAAATGCCTTTAATTATATAAATAATAATTTATATAAATTTCATATTTTAAATAAAAAATGTTATGTCGCTAATAATGTTAATAAATGTGATAGTATAAATAATTGCAAGGTACTAAACAATTTAAGTTCCATAAATACTAATTTTAATCATTTTCAAAATAACTTAAATAAAATAAACTATATAAATAATGATACAAACTATGAAATGAGTAAAATTTACTATACAAATAGTAAAAATGCAAGAAGCTATACAGATGAATTAAATATAAATTATTTAAAAACTAGTGATCAATATGAATCGAAAATTAAATCATCAACAATTAATATTTCTAATGACAAAGAAATTAAAGAAAATAATATAAATAAATGTTATAATAGCAATAATAATAAAAATATTAGTGCCAATAATAGCACTAACAATAATAGTAATTACAATAATAATAAAAATCAAAATAATAATAATACTAATAGTAATAATAATAATAATTATAATAATAATAATAGCTATCAAAATAATAATAATAATAATAATAATAATAATAATAATAATAATAATAATAGCAATCAAAATAATAATAATAATAATAATAATAATAATAATAACAATCAAAATAATAATAATAACAATCAAAATAATAATAATGATGAAAACAATAATAATAATAATAATAATAATAATGAAAGCAGTAATAATAATAATAATGATTACAGTAATGATACAAATAATGATATCAGCATGAATAGTAACAATAAATTCAACATTCATATATGTAATAACAATAATAATTATAGTAACAATGGCAATAATAAAAACATTAATAACACTAACAGTAATGATAACGGCGATAATACTTATATAAATAATAAAAATGATATTAATAATGATAGTAAATATAACATTAATAATATCGATAATAATGATTATAATAATAATGATTATAATAATAATGATTATAATAATAATGATGATAATAATAACAGTAATAAAAAAAAAAACATAAATGAGTTAAATAATCATTCTAACAATATTGACTATGAAAACAATAATACTACTATTATAAGTCAACTAAACAATATACACAACGATTGTAAGATAAATTTTATAAACAATGCTATGAAAAATATTAATGAAATAAATTACCTAAATTTCAGTTCGAATAATATAAATAGTAGTTTAAATAATACACAAAAATCAAATTATATGAATAATGAATGTATGAATAATCTTATAAATCAAATAAATTATAAAGATTACATAACTAATATGAATTATTTAAATACTTTAAATCATTTCAACAATAACTTGAATGATTTAAATTGTTTAAATAAAACAATACAACTAAATTGCATAAATGAAATAAATAATGAACGGTACATAAATAATATGAATAACGAATTACACTTTATAAATAATTATCATAATCATATAATAACAAATGAAATGAATATTCAAAACAATTATAATGATATAAATCGCTTCAATAATAATAATACCTTATATATAAATGATAGATTTTTTTCCATGAATCGAACACTTGACTTCAATAGTGATATAATGAATAATTCTACCATTGATGAATTGCCACACAATGCAAATATTGACCAAAATTCGAAGAATATACACAATTTTCACAAAAATGGACTGAATTATAATGAATTAAATTGTATGAACACAAATTATTCAAACTTCACAAATAATAATAATGAAAAAAAAATTTTAAAATATGATGATTTTATTTTTGGTAGAAAAAAAGATGTATTAAAAAAAAGATATGAAATGCAAAAAGCAATATTACTAAACGTTGACGATAAATTAAAGGAAATGGTAGAAGAAATTGTATATAATGCTTCTTTATTACCAGAAAAAGGATTAAGAGGAAGAAATACTTTAGATTGTAATCATCCAATTCACAGTGTATGGAAAGATACTACTAGAGGACATTGTTCATGGAGATGTAGGTGGTGGGAAAACGGGAGAAGACTAAGTAAAAATTTCAACGTAAAAAGATTTGGTAACGATGGAGCTTTGAGAATGGCTGTAACAATGAAATTAAAAAAAAGTGCGCCAAAAGAACAGTTGCAATTATTAAAACAACAAAGGGACTTTTTAAAATTATGCTATGTTAACAATTGGATAAAAGATAATAAAGAAGGTAATAAAAGACGTTCTCTTAATTCTAATACTACAAATAATGTAAACGATATTAGTAATGCTAATAACAATAGTACAGATAATCAATTAAATGAGGAACAAAATGACAAGTCTTCAACTCATTTTAGCAGCCCATTAAGTAATAAAAACATCAATCCTTACAATTGTGTAAAACAAGAAAATACCCCAAATAATAATAATGAGATGAAACACAATGTATGTATGAGTAAATTCCATAATCCTCTATTGTTGCCTAATCAAGAAGAAAATGTTTTAAAAAGCAATATAATCAATGAAAAATATTATGTTCACAATTCATATGGAAGCATAAATGAAATTATAAATGAAACATATAAGAATTATAATAATACATTACATTTAAAAAATAAAAGTAATAATTCTTACGATATAAATAACAATTTCAACAATGCAATTATTTCTGCACAAGGATATAAACATAATGAAAATACTATAATAAATAATAATTATAGTGCAAATTGTGATATATAAAGCAATTATTATATAAAATACCTAAGTAATGAATATATTTAAAAAGAATTCTTTTATAACTCTTTGATCTTAATTTTTTACTTTATTTTATTTTTTTCTATATTATTGTTAGACATTAATAAAATATATAAATTAATATTCAAATTATATACATTTATTTTACTTTTTATTTTATTAAAATTATAGATTATCGTATATTATTCTATTTGTATGATGAAATTCAATTTTTATATTTCAATATTTTCTTGTGAATTTTTTAATTAAAATTTAATTTCATATATTTCTTAAATTTTTTTATACTTGTAATAATTAAAAATTTTCCCTTACATTCCACCTATTTCAATACATTTCTTCTTAAAATATTTTTATACATGTGTAACAATTGGAGAATTTTCATAATTTCCATTTTATTTTGTATTTATCATAAATTTTTAATTAAATTGTATAGATCTTAGACATTTAATTTTTAAATATTTTTACAAAAAAAAATTGTAATTATTTCCTCATTTTTATTTTTTTATATATTCTGTTTTTTTAGTTCTTAGCTGTTAGTTCCAGTTTTAGTTTTTATTTTTAGCTTCAATTTTCTACTTTATAGTTTTAATTTTTTACTTTTCATTTTTTAGTTTCTATTTTCTAATTTCTCGCTCTAATTTTTTAATTTCTATTTTTTATATTCTCTTTTATAATTTTTAATTATTATTTTTTAATTTTAAATTCTTATTTTTTAGTTTCTTGTTTTTATCTTTTATTTTCAAGTTTTTAGCTCACATATTTTTTCATTTTTTATACTCTTTTTTATATTTATCTTTCCATTTTTTTTTTTAATTTCATATTTTTTATATATATTTTCAAGTTATCATTTTATTTTTTATATTTCTTTTTTTATAAGAGTAATTTGTTTTATAATTTTTATTTAATATATATAAAATTATATATTTTTAATTTATATAAGTAGAATTGTATTAAATATTTCATTTGAATTTTATATTTTTTTTTTTCTTTTTTTACATCTCGGTACACTTAATATTTTAATTTTTTTTTTTTCTATATATGTATTTTTTAATTTTTTTAAGCATGCGTTGTACATATATTCCATTTTTATTATGTTTGCATGGGTAGTTTTTTTTTTTTTTTTTTTATACATTCATTACATTATAAAGCAAAATCTTATTATTTCATGAACATCTGTTCATATGAATATTTTATATTTTCTTAAAATAACCTTTTTATAAATTTAAAGGAAGTTAAAACTTTCTCTCCTTAGTAACTCCTAAAAAAACATATATAAAAATCTAAAATAATAAAAGGATAATTTTAAGATCATTCTATAAAAATTATTTTTATTAAAAATACTTCATAATATTTCAGTTTCATAAATTGTAAAAATGAATGATTTTTTAAATTTATCTTTACTTATTAAAAATAGGAAACTCAAACAATTTTCTTCTAACTCCTCTTAATGTTATTTGAAAAAATAATAATTTATAAATTATGTGAAAAAAGCATAAAATATACACATACATATATTTTCTAAAATAGAAAAACTAAAAAATTATTTTTTATACAAATAAAAAAAAAAAATTTTTTTTTCTATAATTTGGACCACCTTGTCTTCTCTAGAATTTTTAACGCTTAGAATAAAAAATAAAAGACTCTATTTGGTTTAAGTACTATAACTTTTTATTAATTCTATTATTTTTATAGAAATTATCAATATAATTTAAGCTTTTTCGTGACACTTTAAAATAGAAAAAAATAAAATTACCCAATCTGTAAATAATGATTATTTTTAAATTTCTCTGAATAGTGAGCACAATTTCTGTGTAGTAAATTAGTCTTCATTACTCTATATTTCATTTCATGTTCCTATACAAAGTAAACGATATAAAACCAAAAAATTTCGCAAAACTAATAGCAAAATAAAAATGTCTTTACTTCTTAATATTATAAACTTAAATTATTATGCCATTGCTTTTTTGTCTCCAAGAATATAATATTAAAGAAAAACTGTCTTTTATGGTAATGTTATGCAATTTGTATAAATTATTATCTACAAAAATAATATAAAAAAATTTAATAATTAATAAAATTATATAATAAAAAAAGACTCATATTTCTTAATTATATATTATTTCAAAACAGAAAAAATATTTCATTGATGCACTTTATAAAAAATTCATATTATAAGCATTTAATTGAATATATTCACATATAACATGTATATATAAGTATATAATGAGAAATTAGAATCATTTTTCTTAAAATTTAAAATCTCATTTTTCTTTTACCGTCTTTTTTTGGGATACAAATAAGTTTTTCATTAATCACTTGAAAAATTAATAATATATCTAAAATATTTAAGTAACAAATCATAAATACTTAAATTAAAAATTTTAAAAACTTAATTTTTCCTTTTTATTTTTATATTTAATTAGTGTATCTGCGCTTTATTTTTTTTTTACAAAAGAAAAAATGTCTTTTGTTAAAAAATAATGTATATATATATATATATATATATATATATATATGAATATTAAAATAATTGGGAGTATCCTCTTAATATAATTACAGAAATACAATAATATTTTTCTACAATAAAAGATTTTCTTATATAATTTCCTTAATTTTTTCATATCAATGGTTAAGCAAAAAAATGAATCCTTTAAAATTAGCTCATATATTTGATCATCTATTCTACTCTTCTCCTTAGTATATAGACACTATCGAAATTTCTCTTGTATAACTTGTTTTGGTGTTACAATATCTTATTTAGTGACATTTTTTTATTTATTAAAATTAATTAAACTAAAATCATCGTATTAAGATTATTTATGTTCTTCACTAATGAATCTAAAAATTTCTTTTTTTAGTAAGAATTAAAAAATAGAACAGTAACTACATTCTTTTTTATTTTATTTTTTCATATATGATACTAATATAATTTTGGATTATCGAAAGTTTTAATATAAGACATAGTGTATATGTTATATCTTTAAATTATTTATTAATTATATAAAAGTATTGTAGTTTTAAACCCTTTTACATATAATTCATATGAATATGAAACATTGTTATACATAAAAATTAAAAATTAAATTGCTAAAAAAAATAAAAACAGAAGAAAAAAAAAAAAAAAAAAAAAATTAAATTTATGGAAATTTGTGTGCACAAATTTCCAAGAAGATAAATAATAATTTTACTAATAAAAATAAATTTTCTAAACACTTGAAAATATTTCTTTTTAAAAAAACTTATGAAAATAAACTCTCAATAATAAATATATATATATTTTTTATTTAATAATAATTAGAGAATAATTATAACTTTCAAAATATAAAATATATATTTTTATGAATGTTAAATATTATACTATATAATAAAAATTTTTAACTTTTTATTTTGTCTTTCATAGTTTTATATCAATATTATTATATTTAAAATTTTTTCTTTTTTTATTGAATAGTTGTATATTATTTTGCATGAATAAATCAGACAAGAAATATCTAAAATAATAAATTTTTTATTGTGTGTGCATATATTTTTTTTTCCTGATATATCAGCTCGTTATTAAAATAACTTAACAATTTTTTAAAACATTGTATTTTTTATGATCATTTTTCGATGATTTATTACTAGTTAATAATAAAATATTACTATTTTTTTTTTATTTTTCTCAATGTTGCATTAAAACTTCATTGAATTTAATGACATCGCTTAATTTAATTTTTTTTTTTCCTTAAGTATTGCAATGAATTTTTTTCTGCAAGAAAGTGCATCAAAAACACATAAAAATTTGAAGTACATAACATATTTAATATTACTTTTTTATAGGATTTGCTTTTTTTTTTTTTATTTCACTTTTTATAAGTATTGTTACAATTGTTAATTTTTTTTTTTTATAATTATTGCTTTTTTTTTTTTTTATTTCCACTCGCTCATTTTTACTATTTTACTTCACTTTTTATTTATTTCATTTTTTTCTTTTTATAGTAAACGTATTAATTCAATTGTGTTTTATATTTATATATTCTTACTTTTTTTTGTGATAAAATGTACATTCTTTAAAAATTTTAAAAATAAGAAAGAAAAAAAAAGAAAGAAAAAAAGAGAAAAAGAAAAAATTGTTAATTGTTTAATACCGTGTAATTATTAAATATTTTGCTCTTTTTTTTTTTTTTTTCTATAAGTATAAATTTATAAATTAATAAAATATACAAATATATAACATTAATGAATAAATTATAAAAAAAAAAAAAAATATATTATTAAAATTTATAAAAAATACAAAGTAAATAAAATTTATATAAATTAAAAACAAATATAGATAAACATATATATGTAGTTTATGAAAATTTAATAAAAAAATAAAATTTTATTTATTTTATTTTTTGTAATTTTTATTAGAAATAATATTAACACACGTTAATATAATATTTTATTTCTATCAATTTTATATAATGGGAAATTACTGTAGAAAAAATAAGGTAAGGGATCCCAAACGTAAAGATATAGACGAGTTAGCTGAGCGTGAAAGATTAGAAAAAGAAGCTGAAAAACAACGTGAAGAACAGCCAGAAGAACTTGAAGAACAGAATGAGGAACCACCTGAGGAACCTCCTGAAAATGAGGAGGATCAAGATGATGAAGACGATAAGGATGATGAACCAGAAGAGGCTACACAAGAGGAAAGTAAATCATTTGAAGAAAAACCAATCGATGATTTAGATAGATCAAATTCAGAATTATATTCTGAGTCACAACAAAAATATGATAATGGTAGTGAAAAAATGGAAACAGGTACTCAATTAACATTATCCACAGAAGCTACAGGTGCTGTTCAACAAGTTACAAAACTTAGTGAGCCTGCACATGAAGAAAGTATTTATAACACATATAGATCAGTTACTCCGTGTGATATGAATAAGGTTGATGAAACTGCAAAAGTCTTTTCAAGACGATGTGGATGTGACCTTGGGGATCGTCATGACGAAAATACCTGTAAAATATGCAGAAAAATTGATTTATCTGACACACCTTTGTTGAACTAAGATGTAATTCATAAAAGAAAAATGTACACATTTTTATAAGAAGCATATGAATTTATGAAATATATTTATACAGGTTTACTTTTTTTTTAATATTTCTAATAAGGTTATAAATACTTTTCTGACATTTTGCGTAATCATATATCTTTAATTGTTTTTATTATATGCATATTTATTAATTCAATGTAAAATAATATTTACAGTTTTGTAATACATTATTTTTACATTGTTCCGTTGTTGATATAACAAATTTACATATTAATATTTAATAAAGATTTATACAGGTGCAAAAAAATGTATTCAATGAAATTAAAATTAAGTTTTGATCATATTTTTACTTAATAAAAATTATATAATCTAATTAAAATTAATAAAAGATAAATACTAAAATAAAATAGAAATAAAAATAGTTTAATCATTATTATTATCATTCTTTCATTTTATTTTTTTTTTATTTTTTTTTTTTACTTTTTTTTTTTTTTTTTTAGATAATTTAATTATGCGAATGAAAATAGTTTTAATTTTTAGAATTATTATTTTATTTTATTTCATATCAAATACATTAAATAATTATTTAATTTTCTTAATTTTTTACAACCGCTTTATCAGTGAATAATAATTGTAAGCTTCAATATCCATTTGTTTATTTTTTTTTTTATTAATTTGATTTTTTTTTTTTTTTGTTGAAAAAATTTTGTGCTTCAATTTTACGCTACATTTTTTTTTATATGTTGTATATGTTGACTTATAACCATACATATGCAATGCATACATTATAAACATTTGGTGCTTTAAAAGTAAATAAAAAAAAAAAAATACTTTTATTTTCCATATACAAACTTTATTTTAATGGTTAATAATTATTTATAAAGTAAATAAAGAAGCAAAAAATTTCGATAAAACATATATTATTATACACAACCAAATGAAAAAAAAAAAATTTTTACAATTTTAAATATTATAGTACATTAATACGCATAATATGTTTTAATATATGAAGTATTAAATATATAAATGTGTACTAATTAATTATATATTTATATAAAATCTATGGTGAACAAATAAGGATAAGAAAAAAACAAACAACAAATAAAGACAAAAAAAAAAAAAAAAAAAAAAAAAAAAAAAAAAAAAAAAAAAAAAAAAAAAAAAAAAAGACATAAAAAAAACAAAAAAACCAAACAAAAAAACTATCGCTTTATTAAGAATAGATAATGTACTCACTAATTTCCAACATCCTTTTTATGTTGGGAAATTATACACTATTTACATTAATTTTTTTTGATTTATAATGGCTTATCATTATTTTATTTAATTCAGATAAACCAAAATTTTCTATTTGTTCACTTGTTTTCTGTTCTTTCAATCCACAATAATTACCCATACTAGTAAGCTGAAAAATATGCACATATATATATGTATATATATATATATATATATATACGTAAATCTTTTTCTATTATATTCTATATGTTTACATTAAAATGTGGATCATTGTTACTCTGTTTTATTTTTTCAATAAGAATATTTATCTATAAATGAACGAAAATAAATTTTAATAATTTTTATAATTCATTTTCATGATCTACTTATTTTTTTTTTTAACCATATGTAATAAGTGCGTAGGGTTACAAAAGTAAGTATATGTTTTATAGTCAACGATAACAATTTGATCACACTGATTTTTAAAAGAACTATTTTGATATTTTTCTTTAGTTTCCTATATAAAATATTTGTTAGTAATTTTACTAATATGTGTGAATGAGGATTATATAAATAGTAAAATATAAAGATTTGTAATTGCTATTTAATTAATACTTCATATTTATACAAATTTAAAAATTTTGTGACTTGTATTTTACCTCATAAATTTCATATAACTCTTCTAATGAAATATGATTTAAGAGAAAATGGTCATTTTTTATTTCTTTAAGTTTGTTAAAGTCATCATTGGTATCATTTAAATTAAGCAAACATTTTTTTATTTTAGCATCACTTTTCATTAGTTCCTCATTAATTTTTTTATCATTTTCTTCATAATATTCTTCTACTTGATTTATCTTCTGAGCTAGATACATAAACATGTATTTATTTTTAATTAACTCAAAATGAAAATACTACATTTTAAAAATTACATATTCATATTTTTTTTTTTCGTTATCAAAGAATAAAAATTATTAACCTGATATTTCAACTTTTACAAATTCATTATGTAATGTTGCCTCAACATTTTTACATATTAAGTTAACTCGGGATATATCATTATTCTAAACATAAAAAAAAAAATAAAATAATAAATTATTTTATTAATAATGTTGAGAGTTTTAAAAAAATTTTTTTTTTAATATTATTTCACCAATTCTATTTCTTCTTTTTCCATACATTTTAATTGCTTACAGATATATTCTATTTCTGATATTAACTAAATATAAAGGTTATAAATAATAGTACCTCATTTATAGTAAAGAAATAGGATAAAAAAATTAAAATATTTATTTGAATATAATAAATTTATATTTTTACAAAATAAATAATTTTATATAGTTACTTCCTTTTCTTTTTTTTGCAATTCGCTTTCAGTGGTTTTTAATTCTTCAATGTGAATATTAATTAAGCGATTTTTTGACTCTAAATCATTTATTTGATTTAATAACTTTTCTAACCCTCTGTCCATTTTAAAAAATACATAAATATATAAATACGTAAATAACTTAAAAGTTCAAAATATTATCCTTTGAATATAAAAAAAAAAATTTCTTCAAATAAAAAAGTTATTTTATAATGTTTTTGTTTTATTTTTTTTTTTAATATTTTAGGAATTCAACAAAAATTATTAATATATATTTGTAGATAATTAAACAAAAGTACATGTGTTTTATTTTTTAAGCATTAATGTAAATACATAAATCTTTCCTCGAATTTTTTTATTTACAACATAAGATGAATATATGAAAAATTATAAAATTTCATTATTTTCTTTTTAAGGATTTTATATAACTTTATAACCGTTCAAAGAGAAAATTTAATAACATTTGTGAAGTTTGTGTAATAGATAGTTTCGAGTATTTAATAATCAAAAATTTTGTTAACTTTTTAAAAAGATGAACAAGGCTAATATATAAATAAAAATATATATATATACAAATTCCTTTTTTTTTTTATTATTCAAAACAGAAAATCGTGAATAGTAAAATAAGTATGTATTTAAAATAATGATAGAAATTACAAAAAGTAATATTTACAATAATTTTTTTTACGAGATGAATAACTCATGACATACACTATATTTTTAATTATTTCTTCGTTTTTGTAGATATATAGTTAAAATTTATTTTTTTTTTTTTTTGTAGATTTCATATTTTAATTTGATATATCCTGTATGAATAAGTGTAAATTTTTTATTTTTAATTTTTTGTATTGCAAATTAACTTTTTTATAAAAAAATTATGAACTCCTAATATCTCATTTTATTTTATTTTATTTTATTTTTTTTATTTTACTATTCTTCCATATTTTTTTTATTAAATGCTTCTCGTAATTAGAAGAAATATAAAAATTTTTAATATTCCGAAATATGATAGTGAAAAAATTTTTAAAAATTTGTTCCTTTTTAAAAGGAAAATCAGTAATGATATAAATACATCAACTCAGTTAATTGTAAAATGTGTTAATGAAGCTTATAAATCTAAAAGTTTTAGTAAAATGAAATGGAATTGTTTAAGTAACGATATTTTAAAAAATATGAGTAATTTTAATATAAAAGAAATATTAAGTATAATAAATATATTAAGTCATATGCATTTTGGTAGGAATATACTAATTCAGTTTAAGTCATTAATTATATCAAAATTAAGTGATCTTAAAGCAAATTATATATTAAAAATTCTTATATCATATATAAAATCAAATATTAAAGATGATCATTTTTATAATTTGTTATGCTTAAAGCTTCATAATAATTTAAATACAATATCACAATCTTCTTTAATTAATTTTCTATATAATGTAAATTTTAACTCAAATGTGAAATGTGATCATTTATCAAATATAGAAGAACAAATTTTAATCTATTTAACGAAAGAGTTCTATACATATAATATTGATAATAAAAACATAAATATAGAATGTAAAGAAAATAAAAATACAGATATAAATGAAAGTTTAAAAATTAATGAAATTGTAAAAAAAAATATCCCAGAAGAATGTATTAATTCTAACAAAAAAACATTATATAATACAAAAGAGAAGGATGAAACAATAAATAATTTAAAATGTCTTCATCTTGAAAATTATAATTTTATATTACTTTTTTATGCTTTTAGTCACTATTTATTTAATTTGTATTTGAAAAATAAAAATAATCCCATTAATGATAATTTTGTTAATCAATTAAATAAATATTATGATATAATAAAAAATATTATTAATCATAAAAGTAAACTAACTTTGCTAAAAGAAATAAATTCTTTTCATATATTTTTATTATATAAAGCTTGTTTAAATACTATTTATACTTTTGGTGATAATTCTATAAATAAAACTTTATTAGATAATATTAAAGAGAATATAAATAATTTTATTTTACCATTAAAAAATAACAATAAACACATAAAAGGTCAAACTAATGAAATGATAAGATATATGGATATATTAAAACAAAATTTAATTCTTTATTCTGAAAATAGAAAAGTTCATTTTCAACATTATTTAAATAATAATGTTATGTTAATTAAAATTATATTATCCATATTACAAGAAAAAAACAAAAACGATATAAAAAAGTAAAATTAATAATTATAAAAGTTATATTTATTATAAATATATTTATCTTTGTTAAATTTTTAATTATCATTTTGCTACTTTAAGCTGTATATATATATATATAAAATAATATAATTATTATTAATATACGTAAAAATAAAGTAATGATGTACTTATTATCTAATATTTTATATTCTTTTTTTTTAAATTCTATATAAATATAGCTAAGAAATATTCATATATAATTTTATATAGTTAGATTTAAATACATGTATTTATGTATTTTAAATTATTACAATTTATTTTTTTATATTTTCTTTTAATTCGTTGAAGAAATATATACATATATATATATTAATGTGTTTCTATTTTCCATATATAAATATATTTTTTTTTTTTTTTTTTTTTTTTTTTAGATATTACATATGGCATAGAAAAAAAGTAGAAAATATACAAAAAATTCTAAGATCAATTGAAATAGATTAATAAACAAAAAAAAATTTTTTCATTAAAAACTTAAAATAAAAGATTGTTTTAAAAATATATATATATATAAAAATTATCAAAAAAAAAATTCTTAAAAAAATATCAGAAATTATTCTTCAAAACTATTTTGCTGAACTAAGTCAATGAATTCCTGATATCATGAAAAAGAGGTAACAAGAAAAAATTTATAAATAATAATAGAAATATTCAAATTTTTCATATATATGAATTTTAAAAAAAAAAAATAATTAATATCTATTTCTAGTAATTTATATAATTTATTGTATACTTTTTTATATATTTATATTTTGATTTTCTACTATATTATAATTTTATTACATATTTTTTTACTACTTACAAAATTATATTCATCTTCATCAAAATCTTCTACTTCTGTTGATAAATGTTCATTTATTTCTGTTTCAGTCTCAAGGATAGAACTATTCAAGACATCTAAATCATTTATACAAGATATATTTAATAGATGCATACTCTTATTTTCTTTTATTAATCCATTTAAATTGGCTTGTTTTATATTATGTAAACCTAAATAAAATTAAAAATAATATTATAAACTTATATATATATATATATAAAATGACTAATTTTTTTAAATACTCCTTTTTTTGTGTATAATAACAATATATATTAAATTACAATACATTTGCTTTTGTCTTTTATACATAAAATCTATTATATATTTTATTACAGAAGATAAAAATAGAATATATTTTTTTTTCTAATATATCATTTTTACCATTTAAATCTTTATATGTATTAATTTTGAATATATGAGATATCTGCGTATAATAATAAAAAATGAGTTAAATGGGATAATAACAAAAAAAAATATTAATCATTACTCTCTTTCTATATATATATATATATATATTAATACATAAAAAGTAATATAAAAATTAACATTTTTTATAATTATATCTTTAAAGGTTCTTTCTTTCATATTATATTTCTTATAACTCACTTTTTTTAAAATAAAACAAACAAAGTTTAGGTAATTTGCAAAAAATAAACAAGTGTTAAAAAAAAAATTTCCTAAATTTCGTCCATATGTGGAAAATAATATTACTGTTGCTAAATTTATCATTTTATTCTTTTTTTTTTCTTTTTATAACTTTTTATAATTTTAAATAATTTTTTTCATTAAAGAATATAATTTTGAATCAAATCAAAAAATAAAGTAATAATTTACAAAAACTCTATGTGGATTTAAGAAATAATTTTACATTTTAAAAACAAAATTTTACTAAATAACATATAAATGAATTCTTCACCCATTTATTAATTTTAATTTAAAAAATTTATATATGCTTATTTGCTGTTTTATATAAAAGATAAATGTTTTGATTTAATGACATTTTTTTTTTCCTTTTTCATCAAAAAATAAGAAATAATTACAAATAAAAAAAAAAAAAAAAAAAATGTATTTGCACAAATATATGTTAAACTTTATTTTGAAGAATAGGGTTACATAAAAAGATATGAATATTTACACAAAAAAAAAAAAATTTAAGTTTACATTAAAAAATAATTGGATAAAAGATAAATTAATAATTATATTTTTTCTACATTATTTATGCTTTCTTAAATCATTTCTATCTCACAATTTCATTTTTACCTTTCTTTTTCATTCAAATGTGCACTATGCATGTTAATACCTTGCATTTTTTCTGTAAAGTTAAAATTATAATGATTCATAAATGAAATATTTACATAATTATTTTCATTAAAATTTTTTTTTTTTTTTGTATTTTATAATATTCTAATAAATGACTTTTTTTTATTTTACATAGATAATTTAAAAGATGTATTAAAAAGAAAAATTATTATTACACATAATATATATTAAAACTCTATAAAGTAATAACTATAATTTATTTTACACATTTTAAAATTTTTCTTATATTTTCCTTTCATTTTTGATTATATTAATTTAGTTCTGCTTTTATAAGGAAGTTAAATGTTTAAAAAGTTACAACATTTTTAAATAAAAGTTTTAACAGAAAAAAAAAAAAAAAAAAGATAAAGAATTAATAAATTTTTTTTTTTTACGATATTTTTATGATAATAATTTAATATTTTGAGAATAATTATTTTATTTTTTATGTATCTTTATTTGTATTATTTCAACAAAATAAAAATAAAAATAAAAATATATATAAAAATAAAAATAAAAAAATATATATATATAAATGTATATTTATAAACATATACCTAGAAACTGTAACTATTTAACATTATTTGAAAAAAACAAGAATAATTAAAAACGTTTTATAATTTGACAAATTTTTTAATAATAATTATATATTTTTTTTAATGAAGCATAATTGAATTTGTAAAATATTTATCACATTTTGAAATTGATTAATACACTTAAGAATAAATTACCATTACAATCTCTTTTTTTTTTTTTTTTTATTACATAATTTGTAAATATTTATCTTTTTAAAACTCTGAAATTTTTTTTGCATTTCTACACCTTTCTCTAATATTTTTCATTATATCATCTCTTTGTTTCTGATCTTCATACTTTGAATGTATTAATTTCCTTCAATACAAGTTGTGTCTAATCCTAGTTGTTTTAATACATCTTTGTAATTTTCTACATTTCTATACAATATTTCTTCAATGGGACCCAATAATCTTTTAAAACTTTTTCTATCTAAATAAACAACTTGACAAAATTTCTGACATTTTACAGTAGCAGCTCTTGGTTGATTTTTTAAAAGAGCTAATTCACCAAAATAATCTCCTTTTTTATATGTTTTAATTATCTTATCATTTTTTAGAGCTATAGCGTTTCCATCAATTAACATATAAAAAGTATCTCCCTCTTCTCCTTCTTTAATTATAATTTCTTCATCAGTATAATTTTTTGATTTTAAACAGTCAGCTACTTTTGATCTTTCATATGGATCCATATCTTGTAATATAGTAACTTGTTTTAAAATATCCTCATACATTTGTCTTTTTTTTGCTACATTATCTTTTATTATATAAGTAAATGATTCTCTATCAAGTGCCCATAAATGGCAATTAGTCAAAGCTGTAGCTGTTGCTGCTCTTTTTGAATTGTATAATAATGCTAATTCACCAAATACGTCTTTTGATTTTAATACTGTTAATATTTCTTTTTTATCCCCTTTGTTTTTGTATATTTCTACTTCTCCTTCATCTATTACATATAATAAATCTCCATCATCCCCTTCATTTATTATATTCATTCCCTCATTTACATTTTTGTCAAAAAATGCATCTACAATGGTTTCAAATTCTTTTTCATTTAAATGATTAAATAAAAACGACTCATTTAATGCTTCACGTATTTTTAATTTTTCTTCCTCATCTTTTTCATATATTTTTGCTACAAAATTTTCTTTTTTTTTATTCCATTCACCATAAGCTTCAGCACTAACAGACAACCTTTTATTTTTCCTTCCTTCTATATTTGCAATATCAGATTCTTTTTTCTCTATTTCATTTTTGTCCATCTCGCTGTGGTATTCTGTTTCATCTCCATCACTTGAATATTCTTCATCTAAGAAAAAAAAGGAATTCAATAAAAAATTAGAAATTTTTCATTGAAGAAAAAAAATACTAAATAATAAAAAGGAGAAAATTTTCTATTTTAAATTTATTTATTATTGTAATAAAATAAAGAAGAGAAAAAAAAAAAAAAAAAATTAATTATATACTATTAATATTCTTACTAATTATTTGATTTTTATTTAAAGTAATAACAACTTGCTTATTTAGTTTAGAGCATTCTTTGTTTTCTACGTTTTCATCAATTCTTTCAGATTCTTTTGGATCATTCTCGTTTTCTCTTTTATCTATGGAAGATTCTTTTAATGTAATATCTTTCTCCTCATTAATATTTCTTTTATTTTCTGAAATCATAGGTTTATTTTCATTTTTTACATTTTTATCATTTTTTTCTAAATCATTTTGTATTCCATTTTCTTTTTTAATTGATAAGTTTTCATCCGCCGATTTACCTTTCCCTTGTCTCCTTTATAAATAGATACATAAAAATGAATAAAAATTTCCATAAATTTTATAAAATTATATATTTACACATATATATATATATATCAAATTAAAATATATTTTTTCTAAAATTATTTTAAAATATATCTATATATGTTATTTTAAATCCTTGATATGAAAAATATAATTCTTTTCATTTTATTTTTCTTTATATATTTGCTTGTACTTTTCTTTTTATATTATTTTTAATATTAATAATAATTTTAAATATTATGATACTTTAATATCAGTTACTTTTGATAATTTATTTTATTCTTTTTTATTATAAAATTACTTTTCTTATTTTTCTTTTAATTTCTTTTTTTTTTTTTTTTTTAGAGTCTTACCATGTGCACACATTGCCCATATTTATATTTCTTAAGAATTCTATTCAGTCAAAAGTTTAAAAAAAGTAAAGAAGAAAACATAAATTTACTATTATATTATTTATATAAATATATATGAATAAATAACCTTACATATATAAAATTTAGAAATTCAACAAAAATGTATACATTTATATATCTGTGTATGCATGTATGTATTTTTTTTTTTTTTTTTCTTTGATATTTTCCTTAAATTTTTAATTTTTTATATTTTTGAAATTTCTTAAGTTTATAATATACATATGAACATATTTATAATCTTAAAGAACTAGGCACACACACGTTAACAAAAAAAAAAAAAAAAAAAAAAAAAAAAATTAAAATAATATTTTTTGTTTTATTATGTGCACATATATATATTCTATGAATTCTTAAAATAATGTCTTGAATTTAATAAAATTATATTTATGAAATTAACTTTATATGACAAAAATGATTAAAACAAAAAAAATTATATATTTTTTTTTTTAAGTAATTATTTCTAATCTTTTGTATCGTAGAATGATTATCACTTCCAAACGTCTTTTTTTTTTTTTTGTTTCTTTTTTTTTTAAATTTTTTCTATAATATATATGTTATTCATAAGTTTTTAATTTTATTTTCTAAAGTTGATTTATTCTATTTTATTTTTATTGATGTTAATTTAAACAATTAAAAAAATACATGCAACAAATTTTTTTTTATAGTGTAAAAAAAAAAAAAAATAAAATAAAAAATAACTAAAATTTTCATTTAATAACTAAATTTATCCATTTATTTTTTCTTTTTTTTAAATTTAAGTAACACAATTTACACCTAACATAATTTGTGTAATGTGCTGGTGTGTTTTATTTTTTTATAAGTTTAATTGAAAATTTACTGTATTTTTTTTATTGAAATATATTTATATTTAATTATAATTACAACTCAATTTTAATTTTTATTTAAAAGATTATATTTTTTAGTTCATCATAAAAAAGGGGGTAAAATAAAAAAGAAATAAAGCAATATAAATTGATATAAAAATAGTTGATTTAAATTTTACTTTAATCGAAAACGATAATATGTTATTTATTTTTCTTTTACTAAAATTTAATTAAAAGAAATAAGATAATCGTTAATACATATTTTTTCCAAATAATAAAAATATGTAAACAAATTTGTAGAAATTAAAAAAAATATCTAAGAGTTATCATTAAGTTGTTGTTTATTTTTAAAAAATAAATTATAAGAAACTATTATATTATTAACTTCTTATTTTTTTAGTTCTACATTAAAAAATAATATTTTTTAAGATAAGATATGAAAATATTTAGATAATGATAAAAAGTTCACAAGAAAAATTAGTAGCGTCATTTTTAAAAAAAAATATATATATATATAACAATATTTCCCTAATAATGTTTTTGTCTTTTTCTAACATTTTTATTAAAAGCTAACGTAGTAATATAATAAGGAAATATATTATTTCTTTATACGAAAATATAAGTAATGAAAATTAAATTATCTATGTATTATAGGTATTGACAGAAAGAAAAGGATATAAAATAATCAAGTTTTTTTTATTACTAATTTTATATTAACAATAATTCAAACTTTGAATCCATATGAAAACTATTTTATATATAAACCTTTCATAAAACATTTTTTTTCTAAAAGAAATAATATAGAAGACTTAATATATTTTATGTTAATATTTCGTATTTAATAATTAAAGCAGAACTATTCTATATATAATTAATATAATAAATATTATAAAATTTATAAATACATATATGTATATATATATATAAATTCTGAAAAGCAAATATATGTATATTCTTTTTTAATTTAAAAACATATGTTTCAATAGAAATAATTTCTTAATTTTTTTTTTTTAATTTATATTTTAATTACCGCTTTTTTTCTTTTTTTTTTTTTTTTTCTTTTTATTAAAAGAAAGAAAATAATTTTATATAAGTTTTTTAAATTATTTTTAAAAAGATGGAAACTGTTATATTTTTTTTTAACATCCGTAAGCAATATAGATATCACAATATGAAATAGGAAAGATATAGTAATATAAAATATATAAAAACATAAAAAAAAAATTTTACGAAAAAATAAAAAAATTAAAATAAAAATACATTAAAAAAGAAATGTAACTAAAAAGATAAAATGAAATTAAATAAGAGTATAAACATGAGAAAAAAAAAGTTTTCAAAAATAATTAAATACTGAAGATCATGAATGAAATATTTTTTTTTTAAAAAAAAATTATTTTTATATAAATTAAAAAAAAAAGCATAAACATACATAAATTTATATATTAATTACATAGTAATTATAATTTTTATGATTAATAATTATACTCTGTTGATATATATGAAGAATAAATATATATAAATAAAACAAGTGAACGAATACAGAAAAAAAAAAAAAGTGAAAAGAAATATATATAATAAATATAAAATAATATATTAAAAAAAAAAAAATATATACATATATAAATATGCTTTTAAGTTCTAATCTGGGTATACAAATAAAATATGAAAAATTTATATGCGAAAAAAAGAAAAAAGAAAAAAAATTAAAAAAATGAATATAAATGAAAATAAAATGCCAATAATACCTATTGAAGAATCAAAGCATTATTCATACAGTGAAGAAAATGACACAATTAATCTTGAAAATAATTCAAATGATTTGAATAGTATTCAAAATTTTCTTATAAGTAATGTATCAAATAATGGATCAGTGAAATGTAATGATAAAAAAGATGAATCAATATTAAAAAAAGATAATATAAATTTTAATTTAATAAAGAGAAAAAAAGGAACGAAAAAAAAAGATCCATATACTAGTAGCCATATTATGCTTGGTAATATTAAAAATAATAAAAAAATAAATATGAAAAAAAGGTTTTTAATGAATTATGGGGATCAACATATCAATGCATCTGAATTATCTGATATAAAAGATTTTGAAAATAGTTCATATATTCATGAAAATAATCGAATGCTTTTATATGATCATAAATTTAGAGAATATCCAATTAGGAAAAGAGAGAAGAAAAGTGAAATTATTCGGAACTTTTTTGTTTATTCACCAGATATTATACAAAAATGGATAAGAGTTATATTTAATATTATAATAACATCTTTAATAGTTGTTTTAATATATTTTATATTTATATCTGTTAGAGAAGATATAAATAAAAAGGTAGCAATTCAAGTACAAAATGTAAAAGAAGAATCTATATCTTGTAAAAAACAGTACATTGCTCATAAATGTGGAACAGTTAATTTACCTCTTTTAAATGAAAAATGTGAAGAATGGCTAAAATGTATGAAAACAGATCATAACTTATATCAAGATATTTCTTTTTTATCAGCACAGATGCTTGGTCAAATTATTAATGCTTTTATTGTTCAATTTGAATGGAAAAGTATTTGTGTTATTGCTTTTATTTTTCTTCTTATTTTTATTGGTAGTAATTATGCTTTATCAATAGGAGGAAATAGATTGAATGGAGATTATCACTCACTTAACTCTAATAATACTAACTTTCCTTCTTTTCCATATTATCAATATTATCCAATTTTTCCACCACCTTTAAACTATAACAATTCAAATCATGTCGATATACCATATATGAGAATACCTTCTCATAACAAAATTTTTCAGAATAACAATTATTCTAGATATCCTTATCAATATGAAAATAATTACTCTAATTTAAATGAAGATAATACAATAAATCATCCAGTATCAAGAAGCAAAGAATTTTCTGAAGGTTATAATTCATCTAAGAAAGATAACAAAAAAAGCTCTAAAAGGCTAGGTTTTTTAAAATATTTAACAAGAGACATCAAATAAATTATTATATTAAAAAAGATATTGTCAAAAAATATATTAAGTTACATTGGCATTCATTTTTAATTGTATATGTTATCGTATAATTCTCTAATATATTTATATCAAAAGAACATTTTTTTTAGTTAAACTCCATAAATTAAAAAAAAAAATTCTTTTTCTTTTTTTTTTTTTTTTTTTTTTTTTTATTAAGCTTTAAATCTATATTAAATTGCTTTTTATTTATTTATTATGCCTTTTATTATTATTATTTTTTTTAATTTTAAAAATTATAAATTATTTGAAGTATGTGGAATACTTAAAATTATTTTAATAAAATTATTAAGATTATTAAAATTCAATAATAAAAACCTAAATGTTTTTAACAAAAATAAAAGCCTTAGAATTTAAATTAAGTTTTAAAAAAAATTGAACTTTTTAAAATTGAATAAACATTAATAAAAATAGGAAATGAAAAACAAAAAAAAAAAAAAAAAAAAAGATTAAGAAAAATAACTGTTTAAATAAAAATTACATTAATATTATAAGACATTTAAAAAAAATAAATAGAAAATGTATAAAATAAGAGTATATATCATGAGTATATACACATTTTAGCTAACTAGTAAATATCAAAATACACTAGTTTATTTATTTTACTTAATTTAGCATAAATATGAGATGAATGCTTCCTACTTTTTTTTTTTAATAAAGACATATTTTTTCTAATAAGAACAGCATGGTCTGTAATCATAATTAGTAAGTCATTTTCTTTTTTTTTTGAAGTATCATATAATTTAAAACCTAAAAATTCATCATTTTCTATATCATTAATTTTTTCTTTGTTTTTCATTATGTGTTCTTTATTGGCATTTTCACCATCATATATTTTGCTTGAATCTTTTTCACTTTCATTTTCATTTTCACTTTCATTTTCATTTTCACTTTCATTTTCATTTTCATTTTCACTTTCATTTCCACTTTCACTTTCTTTCTTATGCAATTCATCTATTTTGTTGAAATGAGTTGATTCTTTTAGAGTCTCTTCATCACTCTTTAATATAATTTCATCTTGTGTTTCCTTATAATTATCTGAAATTAAGTTACCTACTTTTCTTTGGTTTCTTATTTTATTTAATTTCATTATTTTATAACCTTTCCCTTTTTTTTTTTGTACTTTTAATTCACTTAAATTAATCATTTTACCAAATCCATTCTTTGATAGAAATATAATTTTGCAATTTTTTAAATTTTTTTCATTTTTTTCATAAGATAACAAATCAACAACTTTATCATCTTTACTTAGATTTATACATTTATTACCTAAAGAATTTTTTTTAGATATTTTAAAATTGTTCAAAGGAAATTGTATAATATATCCCTTTTTTGTTCCTACTATACAGTTGTCATTAAAATTACAATAGCTAAAATGTATACTTTGTTTATTTTTAAAAAGTTTTATTCCTTTTTTTTTTTTTTTTAAAAAAACATCATTATTTATTATTTTCATTTTCCCATTTTCACTACATACAATTAAGTATTTTTTATTTTCATCATATTTTATTAATCCTGTTATATTTTTAGAGCAATTAGCAATTTGATTAATTGCAGTACCCTTAGAATCATAAGAAGATAAATTTAAGTCACCTACATTTAAAATAAATGCTTTATTTAAGCTATCTGTTAATAATATTTTATCATTATTCCTAACAATAATACTTTTTTTTATTTTATAACTATTATTTTTTTTATCATCAATTATATTTGCATTATTTTCACTTAATTTATTTTCGCATTCCTTGTCTTTATGTTTAAATCTTTTTCTTTCACTTAGATTCTCTTCATTTTCCTTTAAAATATACTTTATATTTGATAATTTAATAATATTATTTAAATGATTTTTCAACTTTTCATTTATCTTTATTTTTTTTACATAACCACCATAAGTAATTAAAATTATTACTTCTTCATTGTTACAAATGTCTTTAATATTACTATCTAGTGAATCTATATAAGTATTTCTATATTGCATATTTGATATAACTTTTATTGAATTTTCATTCTTTTTTAAAATTATATTGTTTTTTATTGTTTTATTCGGATCAATGCAATTATCCAATATACTAATTTTTTTATTTGATTTATCACAAATATTTTCTTCTTCATTTCTTATATTTGTATTCATATCATTTATTTTTATTTCATTTTCATTTTTCTTTACACTACTTGATATTTTTTTTTCATCACTCATTAACTTATCATTTTCTTTGTTCATATCATTTATGACCATATTATTATCATTTATGTTTTCTTGTGTCTTTATATTGTTATTCTTTACATCTTTCATTTTTTCATTGTTAAAATTATGATTAATTTCTTCTTTAAACAATTCATTTTTTATATATATATCTTCATCATTATTCTCACTTTCTTTTTCTTTTATTTTCATTTTTATTTTCTCTTCATTATCATTTTTATCTAATAAATTAATGTTTCCCTTATTTTTTTCCTTGTTATTACTTAAATATGTATATACATATTTAATTTTTGTTGGAAATGAATTTTTATTTATTTTATTTATTCCATACTTATTTTTTATATGTATTAATTCTTCTATGATTACTCTTTTAATTTTTTCAATATCATTAATTAATTCTTCGTTTAATCGTATTTGATTAATAATATTATTTTTTTGACTCAAAAAATCGACATTTTTTATATTTATTAATTTTTGTATTTTCATTGATAATATATATCTAATTTGTTCATCGTTTAGTTGAAAATTTTTTTTTAAAAACATTTTTATTTCTTCAATATCTTGTTTTTTCTGAAAAAATGTAATTATTTCAACTATTTTTTTTTGTATAATAAGATACAAATTTATTATGTTTAATTCTTTTAGCAAATTATTATTTTTTATTTGATAATTTTTTTTTATAAATTTTATTCTGTTTTCACACCACAATTGAATAAAAGATTTTAAGGAAAATTGTGTGTAACTATTTTCACAACCTATGCAAACAAAATTACAATGGTAATTTATTTCCATTTGTGTATATCTAAATAAAAATAATAGAAAATTATGAATTTGTTCCACTTGACTATGTTTTTTAAGTTCTAAAACAATTCTCATATCTTCTTTTTCGCTTTCATCTCTTATTTTCAATAATATATTATCATGTTCATTTTTTTTTTCATTTAATAAATTAATAATATTTTCAATTAACTCATTAGATTTTACATTTGGAGGCAAATTCTTTATTATCAATTTCTTGCTTCCTTTATCAAAATCAGACGCATCTAATGAAGATAAATCGTTTATATGATTTGTGTATACTTTGTTATCTTTAGTATATTCATAAAATACATTACTTCTTATTAATAAGTTTCCCTTTCCAGTGTTATATATATTTTTAAGAACATTTTTTTTGCTGATAATTATGCCACCTGTTGGAAAGTCAGGTCCCTTTATGATATTAAATAGTTCATCATTAGTTATATTATGATTCATTAAAAAATTAATAGAACAATTAATAACATCAATTAAATTATGACAAGGAATATTACTTAATATGCTAACAGCAATACCTGAGCAACCATTGATTAACAAGAGAGGGATTTTACTACATAACACTTTTGGTTCTTTTTCATTTCCATCAAAATTTCTCATATATTCTATATTTTCATCATTTATTTCATCTAGCAATACATCATGACAAAAACTCGAAATTTTTGCTTCAGTATATCTCATTGCAGCCGCATTGTATTCAACTGAACCAAAATTACCATAACCTTTTATTAATAAATTATTATTATGATGTTTTTGAGCTAACCTTACTAAGGCATCATATACACTCTTATCTCCGTGTGGATGGTATTTACCTATAACTTCACCAACAATTCTTGCACATTTTTTATAACCACTTTTATGTATTCCTTTATTTATTTCATACATACTCCAAATGATTCTTCTCTGAACTGTTTTTAAACCATCACGATAATCACACAAGCATCTATTAAGGATTAAAAAATTAGCATATGATAAAAAGCTTTTTGACAATATTTCACATATTTCTATATCATAATATTCTCCTTTAATCAATTTCATACTTTTTTTTATATTATTCATATTATCCAATTTTGTTTTTTCCTCTTTTTCTTCTTTTATATTATCATCCTTCCTATTTATGTTTGAATTGCTATTTTCTACTTCTTCAATTAATATTCCATTTTCTTCTTTGTTTGCTTCTTCATTAAAATTATTATTTTCTGAATTAAAAAAAATGCTATTCGTTTTCCTTAAACATTTTTTTCTCACTTCATGAAATATCTTATTTATATTCAAATCATTATTGCTTTTTTTTTTGAAATACAAATATTTACACCATTTTTTATTTAAGGACTTTTTTATTTTTCCTGATACATTATTAATAAAAAAAGGATGGTTATTTATTGATGAATTTATACGGAAATTAATTTTTTCGCTTTTCAAAAAAAAAAAATTTATATTAATTTTCAATAAAAATAATAACTCAAACACCAAAAAAAAAGTATATTTAAACGACATAATATATCTGTTATCTAAACTAAATTTTTTATTATTTAAATAAATAGTTTAAAAAAAAAAATTCAAAATACCAATATTATCTTAATATTAAATAAATTTCACACACAGTTAAACTTTTTACAAGTGTACATGTGTGTATATATTTATAATAATTATTTAAAAAATATCATTATTATTTCTTCTTTATTGCCTCTATATTTTTATCCTATATTATAAATATTACTAACTTTTTTAAAGAATTTTCATTTTATTATTAATAAAATTAATAATAAAAAATGATACATATTTTAAATTTATAGAAAAAAAGTTAAAGTGTCCGTAATATAATATTTATATATTTATAAATAATGAATATATACATTATATATCTAAATTTATATATATATATAAATTATTTTAAATAAAATTGATGTAAAATATATATTTTTTTTATTTTTAATTATTTATAGCATAAAAAAAAAATAAAAATAGAATAAAGTAATATCATTTTCATATTGATGTTTAGTTCTTATAGCAACTATTATCTTCTTATTTTTGCATAAAATATTTGTTATTAGTATTTATATAAAAGTTATTGTAGTACAATGTTTTTCCATTTGTTTAGTAATTTAAAAAGAAAAAAAGACTTTATCATTAAATTTTTTTTAAAATCATAAAAATAAAAATTACTCTTAATATATGAAAATTAATTAATGTACAAAAAAAAATTTTATGTAAAAGAAAATTTAAGTATAACAGTAGTGAAAAAAAAAAAAAAAAAAAAAAAATTTTGTATTAATATATATTTACTTTAATAATAAAAATTTTCCTTCAGCTCATTTCTAAAAAATGACACAATATTAATCAAAAATATATAAATATATATATATATCTACACAAATATTTTCTTATTTCGCAAATTATGGAAAAAAATTCTACATTAAAAAAAAAAAAAAATACACCTTTTTTTTTTTTTTTTTTTTTTTGAAATGAATATATATTTTGTTGATATCTTTAATGAATAAATAAAGTAAAAATGTATATTTTTTGACCTTGTAATTCTCAACTTTTTAAACATGTATATATGTTATGCTTGTATAACTTTTAATATATATAAAAAATATGTGAATTATGCATAAAAAAAAATATGTTGGATAGTATTTTTTAAAGTAATTTTATGTTTTTAAAATAACATATTACACATTAAAAATTTTTAACATTTCTTATTTATATTTTTATTTATAAAATTTAAAATAGAAAAAAAAAAAAAAAAAAAAAAAAAAAAAAAAAAAAAAAAAAAAAAAAAAAAAGAGAAGAAAAAAAAAAAATATAAAAAAAATAATAATAATAAAATAAATAGCTTAAAGAAGAAAATATGTAATTTCTATTTCTTTATTTTTATATATTTTGTTCTTTTGTAATATTTAAATATATATATATATATATATATATATATATATATATATATATATATATATATATATATATATATATATATATATATATATATATATATATATATATTACATTTTTTTTTTTTTAAGCTATTTATTTTATTATTATTATTT